GGCTACCTGTCCGTGGCCATCACCGTGGGCGAGTTCCTGGGCCTGGCCCACTGCTGCCTCAACCCCGTGCTCTACACGTTCGCAGGGGTCAAGTTCCGCAGCGACCTGTCGCGGGTGCTGGCCAAGCTGGGCTGCACGGGGCCCGCCGCCCTCTGCCAGTTCCTCCCCGCCTGGCGCAAGAGCAGCCTCTCGGAGTCGGAGAACGCCACCTCCCTCACCACCTTCTAGGTCCCAGCCCCCCTTTCTGCTTTGACTTTCTTGAGGGGCACCCTGACTCTGGGAATTTCGCGGGAATGGGATCCCAAGAGCTCGCCTGGCCAGAGAGGCGGCCGACGCTGCCTCCGGGACATCCCTGCCGGCTCTCCTCCCCGGGGCTGGGCTGCGTCCAGGGAGGGAAAGCAGCTCCACGGCCCAAAAGGCACTGTGCCCAGCTGAGTCACCTGGGCTGAGAGGGCCCCGCCCGCCTTCCTCATCTGAACCACCCAAAACTCGAGAAACAGGTTTGCTTCTGTCTTCACCAAAGTGGGAAGCCATCAACCCCCAGAATGCACCACGTCTCACAGGCCGCCTCCCGCCCGCCCCGAAGGCAACACTGAGCTGTGGGTTGGAGGTGGAGGCTGAGGAAAGGCAGGTGTGGCCTCAGCCTGGTTCAGCCTCGGACACACGGACCCCTCCCGCCCGCAGGAAGCTCAGACCGATTCAACCCCGGCAGCTGTCCCCGGCTCTGACCACACTGTCCCTGGGCCAGCTCCGTGTCCCCGGGCCCCGGGAGGGCAGGCGCATGCACCTCGGAGCAGCCAGTGTCCCAGGGAACTCAGGCCAAGCCAGCGGAAAGGGGGGGGGGGGGGGGGGGGGGGATCTCCTGCCCCCACCCCAAGGAGGGACTTTCTACACCAAAGCCGCCACCTCCTCTGCCCGGGGCGGTGGGTCTGGGCACTGATGCAGGAGGCAGGCGGGTGGCTCCCTGCCCCTCCGGGGAAGTGACTCAGCCAGGAGGGTCCCCACCACAGCGAGGAAGGTCAGGACAATATGCAGACCTGAGGGGAAAGCCAGAGAGAAGCCTCTGGGAGCCAACTCCCCAGCCCCCGGGAGGCCAGGCCGGGCACAGGCCCCAGGCAGCGGCCCTGCCCTGGAGGCTGCTCCTCAGAGAGAACCGGGGAAGTTGCTCTCGCACTGCTTGCTCGCCCACCGGCCCACCTGCCTCCCCCCTGCCCCCAGCCTTCGGTCCGACTGCAGTGGGAGAGCCAGGCCCCTGCTCCTGCCAGGGCACATCTGAGCTGCCCACTCCCACGCAGGCCAATCGGCCACATTCCCGAGGAGGCCCCACGAGGGGAGTCAGCTTTTGTCTCCCAGCATCCAACAGCAAGCTGGTCGGCGGAGCCAGACATGGAAGCAAAGAGGCAAGAGATCAGATTTTACATTTTCTTTTTAATAAAAAGGCACCTATAAAACAGGTCAATACAGTACAGGCAGCACAGAGACCCCCGGAACAAGCCTAAAAATTGTTTCAAAATAAAAACCCAAAGGATGTCTTCACATATTGTATTTATATATTTATATTTATATATATTTATATAATGGTACAAAATGGCTGGGGATGGCCGTGGATGGAGGAGGCTGGCCTGTGGAGTTCGCCTGGAAAAGCTACTCTGACAGCAGGTGGGAGAGGAGAGTGTCAGGCCTCGCAGTCTGTCCCTCCCCTCTGGGCAGGCAACACGGAGTCCGTTTGGAGAGTTTGGGGTGGGGGTGGGGGCTCAGGGATACAGGCCCAGTGCAGGCCGCGCAGGCAGGGCGCCTGGCTGGATGGTGGCAGTGGCTCCTGGACACAGAGGCCTGGGTCCTGGGCCGGGGAGGCAGGAGCCTGCAGCCAGCCCCGGAGGAAGCGCTGGGTGCGGCTGACAGTGGACTGAGCACAGCACCAGACGGAGAAGTGGGGGAGTCCCTTTGTGTGACAGCTGCCGAGGTGGGGCCAGGCCCCGCAGGTCGGGCTGAGCAGAGGCCCTGGCAGAGGACACCTTGTCTAGACGCGGCCCTGGAGGCCCAGGGAGTGGCCTGCCCCCACAGCAGGAAGGGAAGTGAGAAAAGGACTTTACTCTTGGGGTGGGGGGTGCACCCAGTGTGTATGGCTTCAGCTCAACAGAGGTGGGTGGAGGGGGGGAGCTCTGAGGGAGGGACAGTGACTGCGCCCTAGTGGGCACAGCCTGGGCCCTGGGCAGAGGGGCTTTGCCCCTGAGCCCACACTTTAACATCCACACTCTGCAACCGAAATGAGCCCCATTTTACTCTTCCACTTCGGGGATGTTTTCTGGTCACCATGCACAGTACCCCAGCCAGACTTAAAGGAAACCAACTTAAGCCCCAAATTCATACGTGGTAAGGGCTGATCTCTTGCTAAAGCATTTTCTTGCTGTTACGTTTCAATTTGTCTCATCCGTGCCTGACCCATGCCTCGGCCACTGTGTGCCCCACATGAATTACATCTTCCTATCAGAACAGCAGGAGGACCCAGGTGGCCTCCGAAAGCCGGGTCTGGAAGCAGGTAAGCGCGCTCCGTGCGATTGCTTGCAGGACGCTCAGCGAGATGCGCAGCCTGGTCCTCACAGCAGCCATCGCACTTCAAATTGGAATTAATCCGTACCCTTCAGATGCACTTTTAAGGCTGTTGACATTTTCTTGTAGTGCTACTAATGAAATGAAAATTATTAATAATTGTTCCTACTTGAGGGTGACAAATGTCATCAGGCTGGGAAGGCAGGAGCACTGCCAAGCCAACCGTGCCCTGTGGCGTTGAAAGTGGCGGGTGGCTGTTAATATTCGCGGCGGTGCCAGCACTGCGTGGTTTCAGCCTCCGGCGCTGACAGGCCATAGACCCTGAAATGCATGTGTGCGCACGTCCACCTGAGTTTCTCCGCAGCCGCAGCAGCCCGGCGATCAGATGGGCGAAGGGCCCGGACAGGAGCGAACTCCTGCCCACACACCTGCGGGTCACGGAGCCAGCAACGCGGTGGGGAAAGCCCCCTTTGTGGGCTGTCATCAGTGGCCCCTGGCTCTTTTGCAAGACCTATTAGGGAGCGAGCGTCACAATCATGGCCCCCCTGACAAATGAAGACGCATCAGCAAAATCTGACATCAGTCTTTTCAAGGAGAAATTCGCCTGGAGTTCCAGAGG